GAAGTGCTGACACAGAGGTTTTAAGACAATGAAATCTAAGAAAATGCAAATACAGCCCAAAACATTAGCACAAATAGTATTAAATATGTTTTCAAGCGGCACTCTGGAGTGCACAAGGCTGCTTATATTGCTGTTTCTAGCCTCTCCATAAAGCAGCAATGTCTTTTCTCAAAATGATGAGCTGCTTTCCCCAAATGTATTATGATCTCAGGAAAGGCAATCTTCCATTTAAGGAGTTTTCAAAGATGTTTTGTGCAAACCAGTGTGTTCTGAAATTTTTTTATCCCCTTTGAATTTGACTGTCCACGTTCCAAGTAATGCATCTGCCAAAAGCAGAACTTCGAGTCAGGTAAATTCCTCAAAGGACATGTTTATTGGATACATCATATTCAATATTGGGATTCCAAATCTTTTCCTACTGGTTCTATGAGAGTGCGCTTCATGCACTTGCATGCTAATGCATGCTTTGCGCATGTGCATAGCATTCAAAGACCGCCCACGGTGTCAGCGCTGGTGAGCTGAGCTGTTTTTTTAGCTCAGCTTTGGCATGGCAATCTGCTCTGCTGCGTGAATCAGCTGAGCTAAAAAACAAGGGAATATAGGACAGGGAACGGCATGGGCGGGAGGGCAGGGCCAGCCAGCCTAGAGAGGCTCTGGAGGCTGGGGACAGCAAAAAAGTCACTTCCTGTCCAACCAAAAGTTGGAAAATGGGCCATTTTGGGCCTCCAGAGGGCCTTTGAGGGGATGGGGAAGGCTGTTTTCACCCTCCCCAGATGCATAGAGAGGATCTGGAGCCAGGTGAGAAAGAAAAACGGGCCTTCCCCACCCCCCAGGCCCTCTGGAGGCAGGAAACAGCCTGTTTCCCTACTTCTGGTGGGCCCAGAAGGCCCGATAATCAGCTGGCCAGTGCGTGCATGTGCGCTAGAGCTGAGCTGGCATGCCAGGCGACATGGCTCCACAAGCCTCCTGTGACATGCGTGCCATAGATTCGTCATCATGGCTCTAGGCTTTTGCTTGTTCTTTATTCCTCTGTTACAGTCTATGATAGCCTTTCCTTATAATTGCATTGCTTATGAGTTTGCTCTTTCTCTTTCTTCCTTCCTTCTTTCCTTCCTTCCTTCCTTCCTTTCTTTCTCTTTCTTTCTCTTTCTTTCTTTCTTTCTCTTTCTTTCTCTTTCTTTCTTTCCTTCCTTCCCTCCCTCCCTCCCTCTCTCCCTCTCTTCTTTTTATTGCTACCCAAACAATTATGTTATGCATCTCAGCTTTCTTTTTCATTTTTCACTCTTTCTTTGGTTTTCTTTGAAGTCTAAATATAGGCAATGCTGCACTGTTCATTTTATTTTCAACCACTCCTAATCTTAACTCATCATGTTCTGCACAAATCTTTTCCAGCTCTTAACAGTAGTCCTAAATTTGTAGATTAAAATCTATGTCACAGCATGTACCAGTCCAGGCCCATCTGCCATCTCATCTTAGCAGTTTGCAGACATGTGGACCATTTTTATAGATGATAACAGAAAGAGAGAGATAAACAATAATTATAGGGGGAAAAAGAGAAGTAGGGCCCACTGCTGTGATAGCACTGGGAGGAGAAAACTGGAGAGAGTAGTAGCAGTAGCAATAGCACTTAGACTTATGTACTGCTTAATAGTGCTTTTACAGCCCTTTCTAAGAAGCTTACAGAGTCGGCAAATTGCCCCCAACAATCTGGATCCTCATTTTACCCACCCCAGGATGGAAGGCTGAGTCAACCTTGAGCCTGGTGAGATTCAAACTGCCAAATTGCAGTCAGCAGGCAGTCAGCAGAAGTAGCCTGCAGTATTGCACTCTCACCACTGTGGCTCTTAAGTAAGTAGAGAGTTTAGTGGGAAATAAAAAACAGATGGCAAAATAAAATAGATTCTAAACAGTGTTCGTTGTTGAGCATTTGCTGGTTCTGAGAGAGCTTGGAGCAAGATGCTTGAATTAGAACCAGAAGGAGATCCCAAATGTGGGAAGAAACATGAGGGACAAATCTATCCGCTAGATGTTGCTTTCATAGGAAGCCAAAGTAAGAGAGATGACTGTATTCTGATACCCCGAGAAAGAATGCCCACCAGAATAATTAGTCTTTACTTAGCCCTGAGTAGAATTCTAGAAGTTACAAGGCACACATTTAGGTTTATTGGCTGCAAACACATCCAGTAGAGAGATAGTTAACTTTAAAATGTTCGTCTATGTAAATCAAACCTCTGGTTGTTTGCTTTACTATTGCTTTTCAAGGAGTGAAGTGAGGGAAAAGAATCTGGCTTAGCAATAGCAGTAGCACTTAGACTTATATACTGCTCCATAGTACTTTAGAGCACTCTCTGAGTGGTTTATAATGTCATCATATTGCCCCCAACACTCTGGGTCCCCATTTTACCGATCTCAGAAAAATGGAAGACTTGAGTCAACTTTAAGCCCCATCAGGTTCAAACTCCAGGCTGTGGGCAGAGTTAGCCTGCAATACTGTATTCTGACCACTACGCCAACACAGCTCAAGGCTTAATGAGCTGCTGATTAGATGCTATAATAAAAGACTCCTTGAAATGTTTTCTCTGTATTAGTTTTCTCTCTATATTTTGCTACTGAATATAAACATCACAATTTTTTAAAATATTGTAATTTAGATGAAGACCCATGGCGACCAACCTTTTCACTGATGTAGTTTCTTTTGTCCTGATAAAGGAGAAAATATAGACAAATTTGAATTCTTTCAATGCTTTGTTTTTATCCAACAAAACCTCTAGCTTTTGGACTCCTTAAAAGTGTGATTTAATTTATTTATTTTTATTTATTTATTTAATTTAATTTCTATACCGCCCTACTCCCGAAGGACTCAGTGCAGTGCACAGCCAAACAATAAAACACATCCATACAAAATTTAAAAATAGAATAAAATCAAATTAAATAATTTTGGCTCCGACAAATTTAAAACCCCGAACTATTTAAAACCAATTTTAAAATTAAATGTATAAAATACTAAAAGATATTTAAAAATTAAAAATCTTTTATGAAAGAGGGAGAAAATTAGGCCAGGCCCGCCTGGTGAAATAATAAAGTCTTTAAAGCGCGGCGGAAGGTGTGCAGATCCGGGATCCTCCATATCTCTGGGGGGAACTCGTTCCAGATAGTAGGTGCCCCCACAGAGAAGGCTCTCCCCCTGGGGGCCTCCAGTCGGCATTGTTTGGCCGACGGCACCCGGAGGAGCCCCTCTCTATGGGAGCGTACCGGCTGGTGGGAGGCTATTGGTGGTAGTAGGCGGTCCCGCAAGTACCCAGGTCCTAAGCCATGGAGCGCTTTAAAGGTGGTAACCAAAACCTTGAAGTGCACCCGGAAGACCACCGGGAGCCAGTGCAGCTCGCGCAGGAGAGGTGCTACTGGAATTCATTGTTTTGTAGCCTGTCCATAACCGATTTTTATGTGAGTTTTCTTGACACTTCCAAATCTCTCCAAACTGTTTGATTTCTGTATCACTTAGAGCAGTGTTTCTCAACCTTGGAAGCTTGAAGATGGGTGGACTTCAACTCCCAGAATCCCCCAGCCAGCACTGCTGGCTGGGGGATTCTGGGAGTTGAAGTCCACCCATCTTCAAGCTACCAAGGTTGGGAAACACTGACTTAGAGGTTGTAGAAAATGGAGTTCCATCTACATACTGACTGTTGTAACCAAAGAAAGTAGATGCATTCATGGATCAGATGAGTTTATTTGATTTGTAAGATGATTTGTACAATCTCTAAAATTGAGATCAAAACTATAGGACAAACATACACCTGAACTCCTTTCCAAAATCATTTTACATAAACAAGGAACAGAATGGACTCATTCTGGAACACACATGGAGTGACAACAACAAGGAATAGCTGGGTCAGTCCGTAACTCAAGAGGCAAAGGAGACATCAAAGGCAATCTGAAACTGATTAGTCTACTAAAAGAATTCAGAAGTGGGTCCAGCATCTACTAAAATCTAACAAATCCAGATATGTGGCTAGTTTTATCCCAAGCATTTTTCCAGTTTTCAGATGGGAAGAACTTCTTGATTGTTAGTTTCTCTAGACTTCCTCTTTAGAATATTATTTCTATCTCTATGATGTAACATGTAGGGAAAATTTTAGTGGACACTCATTCTATATGGTTATCCTTAATAAACCCCAATATTCAAACAAGGAAAAATCCATCTTCATAGCCCAACCAGTTAAAGAAAGCACATCAATCTTGTAGAAATGTTCATAACTGGGTTTCATGATGCTGTGTCTCATCTTCCTTGGTGTCTTCTTCATTTCTGAAAACCCTGCGGAGCGCAAGCTTCATGGATACTCTGGATCGATCCTCTTTATTTCTCCCAGCCAGGAAATAAAGGATTGGGTTGATGCTGCTATTTACTGCAATACAGATGTCAGATACCAATGCAAGAATAATTATAGGTTGAATCAAGGGCTGAACACTATATATAACATCTAAGAAAAAGTCAGCCATCAATACATTTTCTATTAGCAAGTTCTCGAGCAGGTCATCAAGTACCCATGTTAAATTATTCTTTAGTATATTGTAAGTAATAATAGAAAGGATGCATGGAGGCAAATTAAATACAATGAAGCACATGAGCGCAAGCAGGGTTACCGTCAAAACTTTTTTCCGCTTTTGCTGGCGTTGTTTAATGAAAATCTTAACAAGCAAGATCAGAGTGGAAATGATCACCACTGGGTAAGAAAACAGTGCATTGAAAATCAGCTGAAATATTAGAAGAGACTTTGAAAATGTAACTACCATTTCCAAGGCAAAGTACACAAAGGGCAGAACCCAAGCGATCACACACACAATGAGGGACAATTTGGGTGGCCGGCGGCATTGATGCCAAATTGGAAAAAGCACAGATACACAACAGTCCACACCGATGCTTATGAGTAAAAGTTGGCTAGCATTGTACATCGTAAAATAAAGACCGAGAAGAAGAAAATATACTGTAAAATAATTTTGACTGAGGATCTCAAATATTTGAATCAAAACCTTAAACATGAGTACTCCAGAATCAGCCACAGCCAAATTCAAGATATAAAGGGAGAAAGAATTCCTTTTCATATGGAAACCAAGAATCCAGATGACATTTCTATTCCCTAAAAGTCCCAAAAAGCAGAGAGTAAAAAGAATCACATTAAAGATGATGGTCTCAGTAAAATTTGGAATAATTGGAATTAGGAAATTTTCAAAGTCAGTCCCATTTGGATTGTCGTAGACATTATATTTCACCTCTGAATCAAATAATGAGGAATTTAGATTGTCGTAGGTATTATATTCCATCTCGGAATCAAATAATGAAGTTGAGCCAAACTCTACCATTCTGTTCAGCTCAATTTTCTTTCTTCTGTATTTCTCTTTCTCTCCTTTTGTACATAAACACCTGCCGAGAGAGGCAAAACAGGTACACAGTAAGCCCTAAATTATTCTAAATCATTTTCAGAATTTTTTTTTACATCCGATGAAAACTAAGTGATTAAAAGGGGATTTTCTCTTAAGAGAAAACTGTCCAATTTTCTTGATGACAATACAAAACTCATGAAAGCAAGCTGAGAGGCAGCCAATAAATAAATGTCTAATGCATTAAATATATAGACAGATAGATAATTGCAAGAGATCGGGAAAAGATCTGGAAGGAGAAGTGGAGTTTTAGGAAAATAGCTGCATGTTTGCAATTTATAGATTCTTGTACAATGTTTATAAAGATTAAAATAAGTCAGACTGAATGAATTCAACTTCTCATATTTTTTCAAAACACCAGAGAGATCCTAAATTCTATTTTAAACCTTTAGAAATTTGGAAAAAAAATACTGTTTCAGATAATATGTTCCCAAAATTTAGTGAAAAACAATATTACTAAATTTTGATGGAAAATGAGGCATGGTTGACATAATATCTTGAAATTCTCATCCCATCACAAGCAAGCTATAAAGATACCTCTGCCTGAAGCCACGTGGATCAAACGGGAGGCTCATGAAAACAAAACAAATCCCCCAAACTTTTTAATAATAATAATAATAATAATAATAATAATAATAATAATAATAACAACAACAACAACAACAACCAGTCAATTACATTTGTGACACATTTTTAAATGTTCAGTTGACTGAATTTCATGTTTAATGAATAAAAGAGATAATAATAATAAACTTTTATTCATTAAACATGAAACTCAGTCAACTGAACATTGAAAAAATGCATCACAAATACCATTGACTGGTGCTAATGGTTGATACGGGTTGCTGCCAGCGTCCTAGGTATCAACCAAGTACCTTCTTAAGATGTACGATGTTCCGTGTAGTGCAGTTTTTTCCAGTTCCACTGGTGTTATTGCAGGAATAACTGATGTTATTTCAGGAAGCTGCAATTTCTTGATGTATTTTATAAGATTCTTGGACATGTGCTGTGATCATAGGGGATATCACTGTTACATCCATAATTGTGTAGTTTCGATTGCCAGGTTGCAATATTTTGTGATTTTTTTTCCCAGTTCTTTTTCTTTGACTCTGGCATCTCCTGGTACAGCGATATCAATAAACTGTATGCTTTGGCCCTCAACAACTGTGATATCTGGTGTGTTATGTTCCACATGACGATCTGTCTGTATTCAAAAGTCCCACAAGATCTTTCCTGTTTCACTTTTGACAACTTTTTCCACTTTGTGCTCCCATGACTTTTTGGATACAGGAAAGTCTTATTTTTTTACATAATGACTTCTTCTTCTTCTTCTTCTTCTTCTTCTTCTTCTTCTTCTTCTTCTCTTCTTCTTCTTCTTCTTCTTCTTCTTCTTCTTCTTCTTCTTCTTCTCTTCTTCTTCTTCTTCTTCTTCTTCTTCTTCTTCTTCTTCTTCTTCTTCTTCTCTTATTATTTTATTATTATTATTATTATTATTATTATTATTATTATTATTATTATTCAAATAAAGAGTCTGTTTCCTTGCACAAGTCTAACATACTTTAACAGTATTACAATAGATATTGTGATTACAGGGAACATAATAACAAAACCCTCTCATGTATATAGCAGTGGTGGGTTCCTCCCGGTTCGGTCTGGTTCGGCCGAGCCGGTAGCGGTGACGATATGATGTCACTGAACCGGTTCTCCCCCCCGCCCTCCCCCCCATCCCCCCACGTTATTCTTATCTTTTATTTGGTACAACCCCCAATCTATTGCTGCCTCCTGAGTCCCAGCTGATGACTAGAGGGAAAAAAACTGTTTAAACTCTTGCCGCGGGGCTTCAAAGGGCCGCCCTACAGCTGATCAGTGTTAAAAGCAAAAAATGAGTCAGGTCGTAAGTGCGAGGACCTTCCAGAAATGACTCTGACCAGCTAGCCACGCCTACCTAGTCACATGACCTCCAAGCCACACCCACAAAATAAGCCACGCCCACAGAACCGGTAGTAAAAAAATTTAGAACCCACCCCTGGTATATAGGGTTCCCCATTGATTTCAAGTTATCTACTCTAAGATTTAAATCTTGGTTCCATTCTAGGTAAACTCAGGAGTACTTTTAGTCTGTTTGCAGGATTCTTCTTTAAATGACATTTTAAAGCCTTATCTTTAAATAGTAGACACAGAGATTCATATATACCTGGAAATAAGGACTGGTGGATAATCTTCACCTTTCTCAAATACAAGGAATGGATGCCTCTACATCTGGTTCTGGAATGGCTCCCTGGCATCGAAAACGTTTGAGAAAAGCATTAGAACAGGAATAGATGTATTGAGCCGTTATAGTCAAATGATGATCTTCCCTTGATTCTTCGTTAAGCAATGAAACTCCACTGGCTTATTTGACAGTAGTTTCATCGTTTAGCATTTATCAGATAAGAAAGGGTAATTTCTTTTTGATGGCTAAGATAACTATTAGAGGAAATGCAGAAGTGGGGGAGGGCACTTATTCATTATTAATTGCATGGGGAGTAATCTTACTGAAGAGGATTATTTGAATAGCCAAATGTGGTAATTTATTTATTTATTGAAACCATTTATATATCTTAAAACAGTTCTGTGGTAGTTTACAACCAATAAACAGTATAAAATAGTATAAAATCCAAAAACCATATAAGTAAATATAGAAGAATGAAAACCAAAAATATTTCAATGGCTGGTAACCTATTCGAGGGACTATTAAAAAAAATTGCATGAAAGCTCTAATATTTTTAATGAGATCCCTTGAGTGACTGGCTTATCTGACCTTACATGAAATCTCAAGGATAAAGGATCTTTACATCTGCTTAAGAATTCTCATGAATTTTTTGTACTTCTCCTAATGCACTATTGTCTTAATAATTATAATTAATTATAATTAATAATTAATAATTAATTTAATAATTAATAATGCTTGTCTCATATTTAACAAGTATTTTTGAGCCGATTATATGAGATCAAATCAGAGGTGGGTTTCAGCAGGTTCTGACCAGTTCTGGAGAACCGGTAGTGGAAATTTTGAGTAGTTCGGAGAACTGGTAGTAAAAATTCTGACTGGCCCCACCCCCATCTATTCTCTGCCTCCCAAGTCCCAGCTGATTGGGAGGGAATGGGGATTTTGCAATAACCTTCCTCTGAATTGGGGAGGGAATGGAGATTTTACAGTATCCTTTCCCTGGAGTGGGGTGGGAATGGAGATTTTACAGTATCCTTCACCTGCCATGCCCATCAAGCCACACTCACCAAACCACACCCACCAAGCCATGCCACGCCCACCAACCACACCCAAAGAACCGGTAGTAAAAAAATTTGAAAACCACCACTGGATCAAATGCATATTACTGGGCTTACTGGAAACTGGAAAGCCAGTTTATCTGCAGATGGGCTTAAACTTGAGTATGTTCAAAATAGAAATAAGATTAGTGACAACTATAACGGGTTCACACAGTCTTCTCTGATCCTGGTTTAAAATACTTGGCTGTACATATATTAGTATAGTTTATGCAGTCATCAGACCCTCTTGCAATTGTTTAGTGTGAACCATGTTCCTCTACTGCAAAGTTGTTCTTCCTTGGATTGCTGAAAAACTAAATACGGGTACACAACACAGCTGATTGAGTATATTTCAATAGGTTAAATCTGTGGCTGCATGGAATACTCTCAGAACATTTTTTCCCCTAGAAAATCAAGGAAAATAAAGAGAAGGGGAAAAAAGAGGCAAAAACTTCCAATGGCTGGAGGAATCTTTGTGTGAAGAAATTATTGCTACTGTTATTATTGTTGATGCTGGGAAAAACCAAATTAATTCAAGGAGGTTTTAAGAAAAGGTCTCTTTCTTTCTTCACTGTTTCTACTCCTCCTTTGCTATACTAATGATGATCCATTTGTTTCAGGAGCCATCCGACCCCACAAGAGAAAGTAAAGCTATCACTTAGATATAAAATAAGTCAATCAATCAATCAATCAATCAATCAGAAGTGGAAGGGACCTTGGACGTCTTCTGTTCCAATCCCCTGCTCAAGCAGGCGATCCTAAACCATTAGACAAACAAGCTGGGACAAATACTATTATATACAGTAAAACAATTCCAAGAATGAGCCGAGGTGGCACAGTGGTTAGAGTGCAGGACTGCAGCTACTTCAGCTGACTGCTAGTTCAGCAGATCAGCGGATCAAATCTCACCAGCTCAAGGTTGACTCAGCCTTCCATCCTTTCGAGGTGGGTAAAATGAGGACCCAGATTGTTGGGGGCAATATGCTATTTAGTATACTGTCTATTGGTGTAAGTTGCTCAGAGTCCTCGGAGAGTGGGCGGCATAGAAATATGACAAATAAATAAATAAATAAATAAATAAATAAATAAATAAACTTTACAGAAAGAAAATGTTATTGAATGTTCCAGCTGATGTTCTTATCCTTAATTGGCAATTAATATTTGCTTCTGACCTTTCCTCTGAAAATCTTTTGGGTTCTACCAGCTCATACTTGAAAGTCCTACCTTCTTCCAGTCGTACTTGTTGGTTTACCAGTGGATATTGGTGCTTAATACTTTCTTCTGGAATGGTTATAAACTGTTGTTCCCCTAGGACGTGGCCCATTTGCATTGGCAGAATACACAAAAGAGTTGCTTTTATATATTTTGAGAAAAGGTGGGGTACCTTAATGAGTTAAATAAATCCTTTCTTTCTTGCCAAGAATTAAATGAGGGTGTTGATATTTTCCATGGATGCTTCAGAAGTCTCAAATTATGATAAAATGGTTTCCCATAACTTTGCAAGAGAAATGCATTAGGCCGATGTTTCTAAGGAAAGTTCATTGTTTTGTGTACTTTCAAAACTTAATTGATCTACA